CAGTGTGTCTTTCCCTCCCTGGACTCAGGGGCAGGGGCTTGGCTCGCCCCATGACCCAGAACCCTCCAACCCAACCCCTTGGTCCAAAGGGAACCTGGGCAGCAGGGCTGGGAGTGTGGCAGGGAGGGCAAGCCCAGGGATGAGCCCCGGGCAGAGGGACCAAGAGGAGTGGCCAGGCCATAGCAGCGGTCAGGATTCTGGTGAACAGATTCTTGCATGTTTGTAAAACTCAGCCAGCATCTCAAGTGCTGTCTGCATGAACAGCTGCTTTCTATTCTCATCACAGATCTGCAGGATCTTGAACCCAAGTGGACATGTGTCCACATGCAACAGACACACCCTTTCCTGATCTGCTGGGGGCTGGGTGTGCCTGAAACTCTAACTAAGGGCAGGGCTCTGCAGGTTCCCCATTAATGATGGAGGCTTCTTCCAAGTCAGGCCTTCCGGACTGACTAGCTAGTTTCAGCAGGAGACACGGGCACTTTAATGTCAGATGAGAACATCCACTTACCATAAAGAGGCGACAAACTTTCCACCAGGCTAAAAGTTTCAGCAAGTTATATATTCCAGCACCAAATCCAGTGTTATGGTTCCAATCAGTTCAGGAAATAAAATGTCTACAATTTATTTGGGTCTGTAAGACTCAGAACTCCTGGCCAAAAATGCACCCTTTGATCTTTATCCCTTTAATCTGAAGCATTCTCTAAATGCATTTCCATTTTAATGAACAATGCCTTATATTGGCATAATAGTCTTTATGGAAGAAACTCGGATTGTATTTGAGGTTTTCTAACCCTTGGAGTAAATTCACAGTTATATCTGAGTGTCTAGCACGGGCCAACTTCCTACTGGCAGCGAGCACAGAGACGAGGAGGAGAACTCAGGGAGAAGGGTGCAGGAGACCCTGGGGAGACCAGAGCCCAATGTGGGGAGCTCTTGGGAGGAGCCACCGAGGGATCAGAGAGGAAGGAGGAGATGTTTGAGTGAGGCCTCCAAGGATGGATGGGTGGTTAAGAAGAGAAGAGAGGGCAAAGAACATTCTAGTCAAGAGGGAAAGACTGGAACAGTGCAGAATGTGCTTGAGGAGTTGTGGGCAGTTCAGCGTAGGCAGGATCCAGGGCAGGGGTGATGGTAGAGGGGACAGGAGAGATGAGGCAAACAGCAGAGCAGGACTGCAGGGGCCTACACTCCCTGGAAATGGCTCAAGGGACAAAATGCTGTCTGCGGGGGCTTGAGGAATCTCAGAGAAATGGTGCATTTCTATGGAAGTGGTGTTAGATCTGCAGATGGAGGAGCTAAGCAGCAGCTGTTCCCAGCCACTCGCTCTTCGGTGGCCCGTGGTCTCCAGCCACTGCTTCGCTCTGCTCTCCATGGGGCCATGTCTGATCCTGACTCAACCTAACCTGTAGGCCCCGCATTCATCACCAGAGCCTCTTGCTTCTTGGATATAGTTCCATTAGCTAGTGGCCAGTCAATGGACTGGTTCCCCTGTCAGGCATCTGCCCCCAGTATCATCAGCTGTTTTGGTAATCAGGAGGGTTACATGGTAAAAAACTTGACTTTCAATAGAAAATGCAATGCGAGGGGTGGGGAGGAGTTTAAAGAGGTGTGTGCTGGGCAGCCCCACCAAACTAGTGTCTCCTTCCACTAGTGGGGGCCAGTGGAAGCCATCATGTCTTCTAACTAGGAGAATAACACAATCTCAGCTGAGATTTTAGGGTAGTTTTCCACCACATACAGGATAGACCGAAGATGATGGGGAGGTGCCCACACGGATCTGACATCTGCCACAGACCAAGCCCGATGCTCGATGCTGCATGCATATTCCCTTACTTCAGTTTGACAAGAGCCCATTTCACTCATGAGGAGATGGAGGCTAAGAGGCTTAGAGATGTGAAGTAACTAAAGCCACACAGTTAATAGTGGAAGAGTTGTGATTTGAACCTGAAATCAGGCCAAACTTGAAATCATGCTTCCCTACCACACTACACCAAAAATTGGCCAGGGCGGTCTCTCACTGGTGTCCGTGGGGGCCTCACCCACCCGAGTCTACATGGAGTCCACCAGTTCCTGCCTACTCTTAGCTCCTCCTCCCAGGACTTTCATCCCCATTAAAGCTTTATCAACTACCCAGTCACCCCCGACCCCAGCCTCTCCCCATGCTTTCCGATTTTAACAATATGTTCCAAAGGCTGTTGTGAGAATTAAGTAAGATGGTTCTCATGGAGTGCTCAGAGCTGAGCTTGGCATGTATGTCTGCAGAACTGACAGAGAGATTGATTGGATGTGGGGACAACAAGAGCCTGACATGGAGTTTTATTTGTTTAATGCAGGAGTTGGCAAACTTTTTCTGTGAAAGGCTAGGTGGTAAGTGTTTTCAGCTCTGTGGGTCACACAGTCTCTGAAACACTGGCCAGAGCCAAGACAGAGGTGAATGGGTGTGGCTGTGTGCTAAGAAAACTTTTCCACAAACATGGGCAGGGGCTGACTTGGCCTGAGGGTTGTAGCTTGCTGTCTCTTGGTCTGTGTCTTGGCTCCTTCCATGAGGGTGGTGTCAATGTCTGTTTAGTTCACAGATTCTCCTCCAGGGTCTAGCAAAGTGCCTGGCAATGGAATTGTTGTTCAGTCACTCAGTTGTGTCTGACTCTGGGATCCCACGGACTGCAGCATGCCAGGCTTCCCTGTCCTTCACCATTCTCCCGGAGTTTGTTCAAACTCGTATCCTTTCAGTTGATAATACCACCCAACCATCTCATCCCCTGTCTTCTTCTATTGCCTTCAGTCTTTTCCAGCTTCAGGGTCTTTTCCAATGAGTTGGCTCTTTGCATCAGGTGGCCAAAGTATTGGAGCTTCAGCTTCAGCATCAGAACTTCCAATGAATATTCAGGGTTGATTTCCTTTAGGACGGACTGACTTGATCTCCTTTAGGATGGACTGGTTTGATCTCCTTGCTGTCAAAGGGACCGTCAAGAATCTCCTCCAGCACCACAGTACAAAAGCATCAATTCTTCAGCGCTCAGCCTCCTCTACGGTTCAACTCACATCCATATGTGACTACTGGAAAAACCATAGCTTTGACTATGTGGAAGTTTGTTGGCAAAGTGATGTCTCTACTTTTTAACATGCTGTCTAGGTGGAGTAGGTATGCCATAAATATCTGTCAAAGAAGTGAGTACACAAGAGAAAGCAAGCAAGAAGAAGGGTGGCTGAGAAGGGATGGTACACTGAGGATCAGCCTGCAGGATTCATAAGTTGCAGGATTAATACAGGAAATAGGAACCAGGCTAGAGTTTTTAAGCAAAAAGGTGGAATTACAAACTTGCTGAATGGCTGGAAGAGAAGGCTCTCTGCTGGATTTCTAGAAATGATTCCCAGAAGGTGGCAGAGCTGACCTGCCAGGAGTCGTGGCAGCACTGCTATCCCTCTCACTTTCAGGAAGGTGGGACTCGAGGGGGCTGCTGCGGGCACTGTTGACCCCAAGAACACGGTAGTTGCAATAGCACAGCATTTGGTCAGACAGCTGGGAACACCTGCCTGCACGCTGGGACGTGGAGGAGCCTCTGCCACCTCCTCAACTGACTCCTGACACCCACGAAGCTGGAGATTGGATGTCGGTGGCCCCACGGCCTTGCTTTCCAACAGAAAACACACAAAACCTGAAGGAACTTGGCTTCTGTCTCACTTTTGCCTTCCAAACTCGATGCTGATATGTCTAACTAGGATGGCCTGACTGACACTCATGACCCTCATGGTAAGAGAGTCTGGGAAATGTAGCTGGTTTTTTTTTTTTTGTTTGTTTGTTTTTAGCTTCCTTTACCCCATGCACCTACAGGCATCATAGGAAGATGTAGGCACGTATCCACATCACATTCCACCTGTGCATCCTGGTGATCTATCGCTGCAAAATAAACCATTCCAAACTTCAGTGGCTTAAAACCAGCCATTTATTTTTTTCAGAAATTGGAAATTTGGGCAAAGTTTAGTGGGAGCAAGATCCCCTGGAGAAGGAAATGGCAATCTTCTTCAGTATCTTTGCCAGGAGAATTCCACAGACAGGGAAGCCTGGCAGGCTACAGTCCATGGGGTCGCTAAGAGTCAGACACAATTCACTTTACTTTTGGTGGGGGCAGCTTGTCTCTGCTTCATGAGGAGTCAGTTGGGGGTGGTTCAACTGGTGGTTTAGCATGAGCTCCATGGTGTGAACAAGCCCCCACAGACACCTGGGAGCCCAAGTGGAAAGGAACCAAAGCCCTTGGCAAGAGCCCCAGCCAAGCTCCCAGGCAGAAGCAAGCATCAACTCGGTGGCTGTGTGTACGCCGTTGGGAAGGCAGGTCCTCCAGCCACACAGGGATGCCCCAACTGATGCCATGTGGAGCAGAGACGTCCCTGATGGATGTTGTCCAAATTGCAGACTTGTGAGCAAACAAATGACTGTTTCTATTTCTGTCACTAAGTTTTGGGGTAGTCTGTTTTATGGCAGAAGATCACTAGAACATGCAGGTTGTACTCAATGTGAAGGAGGGAGGGAAACAGATGGAGCTATCAACAAGAATGAAGCAGCCAATGCCAGGGAGAGGGAAAGGTCGACCTAAACAGAAGCCAAATTCACTTCCCTCCTTTACCCCCAACACTGAGACTTACCAGATTTTTAAGTGATGCTTCCTGAAAATCAAGCCAAGGTGGTTTGGGTTGTATATACCCAGCCAGTAGGCCAAATCTCGAGCTGAATAAGAACCCTTTATTCTTATGAGTATTGCTACCTGGGGGCTCTTGGTCTCTTCCAGAAATTGCCTCTCAGCAATTTTTGATTATGGCCAAGTGATTTAGATTTTGAAATTGCCAACTGTCATAAAAAGGCAAGACTGATCTACTGTGTTCTTATTTATACAACCAGCTTCCAGGATAGCTCAGGTGATTTCCAAGTACAGGGTTGTCACATACAGTTGTGCCAGTTGTATACTGCACAATTCTAGGGGGCACCATTCACATTCTAGTCATGATCTCTTGGCATATTTATTACAATAGTTTTCTGGCAGATGGCAGCAAAGTGTCTTGAGGTAGGGTAGCTTTTTCTAATTTGCAAAAACGCAATTTATAGCTAGTGGCAAGAGGCATAGGGACAAAACTAGGGTCTAATAAATCTTTGGCCAGTGGCAAGAGTTACTAGGAGAAAAGGAGGAAGTGGGGAAGAGTCTTAGGATTGAGGGAGGACCCTTTGCTCAACCAAAATGGGCACCCAAGAGATAAAAAGTATTGAGATTTGTGGGGTTCAAGATTCAACTTCTTGGGGTCAGCAAGGCTGCAGAGAGAATCAGCTATACACTTGTCCTAAAAAAGTTGACATTTAAGGGCTGAGTATAATAAGTAAATAATGACTCTTTGTGGAGAGAGATGGGGATGAAGAGAATGAGTGAATATTTAAATAAAAATTCTATGGTTTTGGTGGGGGTGGGGAGCTGGGGCAGGTGGGGGAAGGAAAAGGGAGAGTGATTGCCATGGGAAAGCACTGTTTAAGTGGAGTTTAAATTCTGGTCCACCATAGGAATTCCACCCCACCTCTGACCACTCTGGTTCAGGAACAAGTATCATAACTCATAGCAATAGCACAGCTTCTGAATGTCAAGGTAGATGACATGATGCCTTTCTATTAGAGATATTATAGATTGCAAAATCTTTATAATTGGAACAATGTTCTCCATTTTGCCTCTGATTCCAAAAGAGAGTCCCAGTCAAGCACAGCTTTTTGTTTTATCTACGCATCTTCCAAGGTCTCCTTTGGCTGTGCACGTTGTTTTTGTTCTTGGCTTGCTGTTTTAAGTTCAGCTGTGCTACGTTTCCATTTTCCCTAGTATCCAGAAACAAGTACTTATTTGAATTAGAGCAGAAAAATATTGAATAGAATGAAGCATTGCTTTCCCCCTCTCAAACATGGTGAGGTCATGGTTTAGTGATAGTGGTGACAGTGATGAATGCCTTGCACTTTCACTCAGAGACCTTCAGGAACGTATAAACAAATATTATCTGAAATGCACAGGTGAGGGGGGAGGTGAAGTGGTTCACATAGGATTGTGCTGATTATGGTCTGATTCCTTTCCCCCTTCCCAATTATCTCAAAAATTATGCTTTGGTGAACAGGACTGGAGTTGTTCATATTTTAAATCAAACTAAAGTCCACTGAAGTAGGAAAATTATGCATTTTACGTAAATGATGTGGGCAAATTATTATTCAATTTTTAACAGGGTTTTTCCATCACTTTGCTGTGCACAATGTAACATGGTTAATTTACCATATAGCATTGTTATTCATTCCCTAATTCTCTAGGCAACTGCTGCCATTTGCTTACCATTTCCTCCGTGCTCTCTGGGAATTGACAGACCTCCCGGCTCCATTTAGGGTGGTTTGGTTCCAGGGCGATCTCTAGGGTCTCCACTTCCCTCTTGTCATCTTCCAGTGCTTAGCCCTTGGGAGGAGTCTGAAAATGAAAGGATTCACATATCTGGATTTAGTTTCTGAGTGACTTTAAATGAATCCTTTTGTAAACACACATACATACACACACACATGATAAAATCTCTTGCTATTTAGTAATATTTCCCCACAGTATTACATGTAGGCCTTCTGTTAAAAACACTATCTGAATAATACCCATTTCATTCTGTCTTACTTCCAATTAGCTGCTCATTGATTATTACAGAGCAAGCACTTGATAATTAACTAAAGGAAAAAAATTTCAAAACAAAACAACCAGAGTGCCTTGCATCTGCTAACATATACCTGCTTTCATGAGTTTACATATTACCTGATGATTCAAGCAAAACAGCCTCTTAAATAGGAGGGGAGGAATGAATGACAACAGGGTCAGCAGTGGGAGAAAATCCCCTACTCATTGTTCTTAGGAGAGGAAGTGTGCAAGTCCTGCAATTCTCTTATTCTCATACTCTATATAGTTCAAACCACATTGCAACTAGGATGCTGGAGTCAAAAACCTGCCTGAAACCTTATTCTGTCCTTTTACAGTATTATCTCCCATCTGGGTAGTTAGCAGCACAATCATTAGAAAAACTGATGTTACCTACATACCTTTTAATGTCTGTGTTTGGGGAAGGGGAGGAGGGAGAAAGAGATTTAGATTTTCTTTGCTTGGTTTTGGTTTCTCTTCATTTAGATGCATTTGTTGAACACCTTCTGTACTCAAAGCACATTCTATATTTAGAGCTGGCCACTAATTGAGGTTGGGGATTAGAAGAAAATACAACTGAAGCAAAAAACGCTAAGCCTACCATTATGCATTACATAATCCACCTCTGCTTGTCCTTTAGGCACCCACTCCTCCAGGAAGCCTCCCTTGAACTCCCCATTCTGGGCCATTTGGCACTTCTTTGCAGCCCCTTGTGTTTCCTCCTAACAGAGAGCTTATTGCAGCTATCTTTTATGGATCTCCATTTCACTGGAGAAGGTAATGGCAACCCACTCCAATATTCTTGCCTGGGAAATCCTATGGATGGAGGAGCCTGGTAGGCTACAGTTCATGGGGTTGCAAAGAGTTGGACACAAATGAGCAACTAGACTGGGAATATTAATTGTCTCCTTAGCTTTCTAGTGCTAAACACAGGGTCTAACCCTTAATAAGTACTCAAAAAATGTTTGCAGAAGAAATGAATGGTTAAGCCCTTACATATAACCAAAGTCATCTCTTTGGTGGTCATCCCATTGCCTTGAATAGCCTCAGCAAAGGGCTCCTTTCATCCCAATTCTGGTTTCTTCCTCTTTGTCCAATGTCTCCATCTTGTCTTCCCCAATTTGCTGCCACCTTGGACCAGCAGGCTGACCTGATCAGACCTTCACTTATAGGCCGTTCTGGATGATTTTCCTCTCCCTATGATCAAACCCTCCCATCTTCTGTCCCATTCTCAGTCAGGGGGCTGTTCTTTGCTGGGTGAAAAATGGGAATCAAATGTAGAGAATCTATATTAGTGGTGGTTAAGATTACCTCTCCCAACTAGAATATTTCCATGTTAGCAATAGTATCTTATGGACAAAATCTTTACCCTGTGATTCTCAAGCAGGGCATAGGGACCCCCTGGGTCATGGCAGAGTTTTGCCAGGCATACTATAAGCTGTAGACTTGTTAACAATGCACAATCTGAAGGATGGGAAAAGAATTTTATATGAAGACAAAAAATGGGTATCTTAGGAAAATATCAATTTTTTCATAAAATGCACAAACGTTAGAATGAGATTTTGAAGACCCCAGGTCCCAAGGGGTACAGGTTTATTCCCATTGGCGTGGGGATGAGTTCTAGGGGAAGATTCAGGAAACACTAATGGTGTTCACTTCAAGCTACAGACTGGGTCTTCAAGTCACAAGGACACATTCACGACGGCAATGCTAGTGCCTCGGGCAGCTCACAGCAAATGCCAGGGTGCCTAGCAGGCCCTAAGGTAACTATGTTATTTGCGATGTACCTTTCACCCCACAGGATGGCATCATCCATCTAGCCAGCCACCCACTCAGCCAACATCTACCATCAGCTTGTCACTGCCCTTGGTGCAGAAGTAGAGTGATGAACAAGTTAGGCAGTTTCTGTTCTCAAGGAGCTCATAATCTGGCAGGGAAAATGCATGCAGAGAAGAGTCACATTATTAAACACATTATTAAAGAGAAGTATTCTGGAAAGGAGCATAGTGTTCTGGCTGCTGGGGGGAGCAGTCATTTTTCACTGATCACAGTCTCCACAAAATCATCCCTGTCACACTGGAAAGTGTATTTTTATTTCTAGTCCCCAGAATTAATTTTAAAAACAAGGTATATCTCCATCACCACCCATGGGATTCTGAATATTTTGCATGTTTGGAAAGAAACAGGTATGCTTTAGGAATTTATTGTGAAAAATTTCTGAGAATCTGCTGCTAAGTCACTTCAGTCGTGTCCAACTCTATGTGACCCCATAGACCACAGCCCACCAGGCTCTGCCGTCCCTGGGATTCTCCAGGCAAGAACAATGGAGTAGGTTGCCATTTCCTTCTCCAATGCATGAAAGTAAAAAGTGAAAGTGAAGTCGCTCAGTCATGTCCAACTCTTCGCGACCCCATGGACTGCAGCCCACCAGGCTCCTCCGTCCATGGGATTTTCCAGGCAAGAGTACTGGAGTGGGGTGCCATTGCCTTCTCCATCTGAGAATCTAGGTATACATAAACTGTGAAGCTTCATTTGATATTGCAAAGATAATTCTTCATTGTTTTCTTCTCTGGAGTTGCAATCTATTTTCGAGGAATGAAAATACTATTGGTACCTGCCTTAGTAAATTCGTACCCTACAATATCATTTTTAGAGTGAGAATTTGTTTGAACTTCCTTTCTCCTCACTCCCCCAATTACCTCCTCCCTCCCTCCCTTCCCGCTTATTCTCTCCTTCCTTTCCAGCAAATATTTTAATCTCCGAATTGAATTCCAATCATACAATATATAGTGATAAGAAAGCCAACAAAACATATCTAAACCCATTAAAATACCTTTCAGGACTGAACTGACTGAACACCATTTTATACCAATGCAACTTGTTAGGAAATTCCTGTTTTGTCAAGTGAGGTCTCTTGTCCGGAGCTGTGACAAAACAGCAGGTGACATAACCTCACGCTGTGGGCTTCAGTGCCGTCCTCTGAATCCTGCCAAAAACCTTACCTTCTTCCAGCACTCATGAAAGAACCATGCCGTTTCATACGGTATACATCCTTAAAGTCCCATAGGAAATTTCAGATAAGATTGTGCAGCTCCAATGCTACTAGAAAAATCCTCTGGTGCCAAGATTCAGCCACAGGAGGATTCCTGTCTTTCTCAAGGCAGGTAAACACCCTCTTGTGCTTATCGGGGAATCTTGAAGATTGTATTGGGGTTGTTTTGGAGGGATTATGAACACCCTTAACTTTTCTTGTGGAAGTGCCTTGATCCTCACACACCTTTCTGTGCCGTGAACGAGGCAGAGCCAAATGCATCACGGCTTCAGCCTCCACCTTAATGCTCGACCACAGGGGAGGCCCAGCCTCTGGGCCTTCTGGCCCATCAGTACCCGGGAAAAAGCAGACTCAGAGGAGAGAGCGAGGTATGAGCATGGCTGAACAGAACTCACTCTGTCTCATTTACAGCAGCTGAGCTTTGTCAAGTCGTCTTCTCCGGCAGGTTTACGATTTGATTTCAAGGAAGTAAAAACAGCTAGATTATTAGGAAGCCTCGCTATGCAGCCCGGCAATGCCAGATGCCGGCTCTCCTCAGGGAACAGAGAAAGTCCTTACTCACTGCCAGGTCATGAGAGACAAAAAAAAAAAAAAAAAAGCATTTCATCATCACTTGCTATTAAGGCACCTTTCAAGATACAAGAGAACATTTTGGGTCAGTATGTCCAGCTTCTTCTCCCCAAACTTCTAAAACTTTTGGGAGGTGTGGGGACTTCCTGGAAGTGATGTCTCATTTGCCTAGACTAGTCTGCATCAGGGAGATCTCTTGACAACTTCTAAGCTGTTTGGAAGAAAAAAACCTGAATGTCTGATTTCTTCATATTCATAGCTACTTTTACCTTTATTCTGCAACCCTACTCTGTATCAGAATAGTTACAGTGAGATGTATTGCATAAGTGTATCCTCTTGAGTTAGCCAAAGTCTTGAGTTTTGCTTCATATAAGAGAACTCACAATTAACTCAATGGATGAATTAAAGGCTATGATTTGAAGAGACTGTTTTCCTTTAAAAATCTGTCTAAAACAGGCTGTTGTGACTTTTTCAGATCTTTTTTGAATGACGAGTCAGAAACATACACAAAAATCCCCCAGAGAGTACTTGAAAATTATCCAGTCTATTGGGATGTAAAGATGAAAAACACAGTTACATCTTTAAACACATCTAGAACAGCATTAAAAAACTGCCCACTACTGTGATAATAATTGTATGTAACAAGATCTTTGAAATTTTATTAAATTGTATCAATTTAGCAATTGTATTAATACCAAACCAATGCCATAAAAACTTCATTAGTCAGAAAATCCCTATTTCACTTAAAAAAAATGTTGGAAACTTTCTAAACATATAAAGGCTATATCAGCAAGAAAGCGTCTGTCCTCTTTGTATAATTCCACATGACATCAGTGATCTTAGAATCCCAGGATCTCAGATGTAGGAACCTGAAGCAAATCTCATCCAACTCCTTCATTTCTACAGACAAGGCCTAAAAGGGAGCGACTTCAGGTGACTGTTGAACGAAAGCAGCTGAATGAGGGCAGACCCAGGCCTGGCCTGTTGGCCCCGTCCACCCACTGCCCTGTCCACCACACCAGGCTGTTTCTCTGCTTAGCAATTTCATTACAGAGGTGGAGGGGCACTGGGGAAACGCACTGACCACAGGACAAGAAAGATTCTTCTCCTACAGTGGGGACACAGAAAATTCCAGTTAAGAGATGTCTCATAAATTAAAATGTTACTGTATGTCTACTCCTGCTTTAACGATCCTCTGAATTAACTAGACAATGGTCTAGCCTTTCTGGGTGAAATAAAACCTCACTCCAGGTGTTTGGAATGTTTTGGGCATTTAGAAATCATCGCACAATGGTTAAATTTCCAGGTGAGTCCTTACCACTTAGTGTGGAACACATATGTCACTCCTAGAGTACCTTCCATGATTTAAACAAAGGAACAAAAAAAAATTCAAATGTAAAATGCTCTCTTTTTAATTACTAAATTAAGAAAGTTAAACAATTTAAAAATGTAAACTCACAAAGAAATAACAAAAAAGGAATTAAGACTTCAGAGTTGCTACTTGGTATTAAAAACTCAAATAGAAATAGGGTTTTTGATTTGTTGTTGTTAAACATCTGTAATTCAAGGTTGGTACAAACAGCAACTAAAAACATAATACTTTTTTTTTTTTTTGTGCATCCTCATGAAATGTAAAGTAGTGCATAGTTATTTCACTGGAGGACTCCTGGACATAGAGAAAGTCATTTCATTAGCAGTAGAGAACATTCAAACACTTATTTTACAATGGGAAATGTACAAACCCCTCCCTCACCTTCCTGTAAGGTTTAGTTGCAGGAGAAAATTTAGCATGTTGCCATGACTACAATGCTATGGATTTTAGACCATTTAAATGTGGTTACAAGGTTTATTAAATTAAAAAAGTTGGAAACATTTCAGCATTCATGTTTTTACACAAGAAGTTTGTGTGGTATCCATTCTCTAGTTTCCCTGATGGTACTGGCCATTTGCCTGCTTTAAAGAGGCTCACTTTTAAGTTTCAAGAACAAATCATAGTAAGTTGAAGCAAATACTGGAAAAAAAGAAATTGTGAATCCAGCTTGGGCCCTGATGAAAAGAGTCAAAGTAACAGCCATCTACAGGCACAGTCATGAACCAAAAAAGTACAACCCAAGTTAAAAACAAACAAACATGTTTTGCAAAGGCCAAAAAGCAAGGCCACTGGTTTTCAGAATCACACCAGTGCTTCTATGTTGATTTTCCAGTCAAATCCTCATTCTGGGTCCTGAAGCTTTGTGGCCAACATTGGCCATGGTCTCCATGTTAGCACCCACATGGCGTATGCACAGGGATATATAAATTATATATATTCATATTTATAAAAAAGAAAAAAAAAAACCAAACACCTGTCCTGATTGGTTTTTGTTAAAACATGAAAAAAAATTTTATTGTTTTAGACAAAGAGGCCACTTCTGGAAAATAATACTTTTTTTTTTAGTTGAATCAGGTGAAGACAGAGTTAAAATCACATAGGATTTGCATTTTAAAAAAAGGAAAGCACTAGGATCGTTGGCACTGGAGTAACTATTTACACTGAACAGAGGTTTGGCCTTTTACATAACATCGATACAATGCATTTCCAAAGTCTGAGAAATAACAAGGTTCTGTCTCGAATGCTTCACAGAGGAGGTTCGGATGTGGGGACAAGTGTCATGAATGAGGGCCATGGAAGTTCGTCAGCTTCAGAGTCACATGCAATCTGATCCTGGACGGTTCTGGCTGCTCTGCTCGGAGCAGCTGGCTATGGAATTGAAAGCTAATGGGGAGGGGGCGGGGAAGCCTCTGGGACCAGGCCTCTCTCTCTGCAGACCCAGGTCTTACAGGTTTTCCCCGGGTTGATACTGAGGCTCTGTCGCGGTGAAGTAGTCTTCCAGGAAGCCCTGCAGGTACTCGAAAGTGGGCCGCTCTTCGGGGTCCTTTTTCCAGCAGTGTATCATGAGCTCGTGGAGGGAGATGGGGCAGTCCTGCGGACAGGGCATCCTGTAGCCGCGCTCCACCTGCTCCAGCACCTCCCGGTTGTTCATGCCTGCAACGACAAGGGCCGTGAGAGCGGGCACCCCTGCGTCTTCCCTTTCTTCTCCTTGGAGCCTACAGGTGGTTAAAACGTGTTGCGTGCCCCCACCTCACCCAGAGGCGAACTCTGTCTTCAATGGGCTAGCTCACCACTCAGAAATAAAAAAGGACTCCCCTCCAGACACACGTGAAGCCCTGGAGGGTGAATCTCAAAAGCATTAGAAGTGAAAGAAGCCAGACACAAAAGGCGACGTACTGCATGATTTCATTTATATGAAATTCTAGAAAAGGCAAAAACTATAGTGATAGAAAGCAGATCAGTGGTTGCCAGGGGTGACGGGGAGGGCAATCCTGCAATGAGGCCGCAGGGAACACGAGTGTGATGGAAACGTTCTGTATCAGCAAACCCTCCCTGTAAAGGCCAGGCGGTAAAGATTTTAGGTTGCATACTCTCTCTGCTGCATATCCTTCACTTTATTTTTTCTACAGCTCTGAAAATGCAGAAAACAAAGACAGAGTGGGAGCCAGATCTGGCCTAGAAGCTGTAGCCTGCCAACCTGTGTTCTAATCCTGAGTGTGGAGGTGTGACTGTTTATGTTTGTCAAAACTCACTGAA